TTTTTTTTCCCCCTTTTTTTTTTTTTTTTTTTTTTTTTTTTTTTTTTTATTTAAAATATCAAAAGTCCTAATCATTTTGGCATGGAACATATTCTCTGTTGGAAAGCAACTTTTGATGAAGTAACTCCTTAAAATTCTGAGTTTGGGTGGCAACGGCCTTAACTCTGTCAACCCTAAGAGCATCTCCAACAGTGCTCATTTTGAAGAACTTTAGGATTAATAGAAAGCGAGACATTTTATACAATTCCAACACCACTCTGTATATTTATTCTATATTTTACACTTTTTTTTTTCCATAAACAATTATGACTCAACTTATTTAGCATTTTTTCTAGCTAGCTTCCCTATATATTATTTTTCATTTCCCCTGTATTTCTCTGTCCACTTGTAGCAGTAGGTAGGAACGCTAATTAGTTTCAGGGTTTGCCTTTAGTTGTGTTTCAAAGAGGCTGCTATAATGCAAAGATAAGTGTTCCTTTATAAATCAAAGAGGTACATACGAAGTTGTGAAATAGTAAAAGTAAGTATTAAATATATTGTACGGAAAGTGGGAATTTGGCGCTCTACCTTTTGAGAGTCATTTCCACACTTTATTTTTATTTTTTTCAAGTAAGGAGAGTTTGTTAGACTCCTAGAATGAGGATTGACTATCAAAAATGAAGACAACGGGACTAATAAAGATCCTCTCGGAGATTTTCATGATGGATATTGAAGCCTTGCTGCTTATGTAGACCACTGTTCTTATCCATGAGAGAACCTAAAACTAGGATTGATTTGAGATCGAACTCTTTTCTCTTGCTACTAAAACAACTGTAGCATTGAGCTTGTTGGTTGGACTTTGTCCTTTCAAGGGTGCCTCTTTCCCACCCAACAAATAATTTTGACAATAGAAATATTAGAAAATATTAGATGTTCATATATATACTCCAAAATACATTCATATGTACATAGATGCACAAATATATGTATATTGGGACATTATTTCGCGAGATAGCAAGGAGAGGATGACATTTATTTCGAGATGAAGAGAGTATTGGATTTTCTTTTTGATAGGAAGTTTTTCAGAAGGGCCTTGTAATAATTCCCTATACCTTTTTCTTCTCCAAGGTTGTTTCAATACAACATTGGGTCCATCTTTATCATTTTTACTATTAATCCTCAGAACTGCAGTTTGAGAGAAAGGATTCAATGAAATCTTACCTGTAAATTAAGCAGGTTTTGGTAGTCATCTTATTGTTATGCAAAATTAGTTTACACATCTTTTCGTATGTATTGTCTTGTTTAGTAGGCTTCTGAACTTTCTTATGCCTCTGATATCTGTAGGAGTCAGATGCATCTGGAGAATGGACAAGAGATTGAGGGAGCGGACCTTGCACCAGAGAAACCTAAAAAGGTCTAACTTTACTAGTTTTTCCAATTGTTACTACATTTTGTGTAACATATATTGGTCTTGCGTGTTGTAGACTGTGTTTTTACATATTTTTTTGTTACTGCTGTTTTTATTGCCTAGCAAGCCAAGTACCGAAAAGGGGCAGCCTTTTCTATTACAATATATGACCTGTTTTCATTATTGTGAGATTTTGAAGAGTTTGATATGTTAAAATTGATATCAAAACTGCATCAGTTTGGGAGTTTGTATTAATTAAGAAATTAGTATTTTTCATGAAACATTTGTACCACTTTGATCAGCGCGTACTTCTATTATTCTTCTATTTTATTCTAATGGCCCATTTTTGATCAGCTTCGAAATCTGAGATGCTCTGAAAATTTAAATTTATGTTGTAGAAGTCGAGGTTTCCAAGGATGGCTTACAGTGGTATCATTATATGCTGTTGAATATTATCAATTAGGCGTAACGTGTTCTGCTGCTGCTATATTAGCTTTTTGTCTTGCTCTCTTTTCCAAGGGTTGAACTAGTGTTTTAATAGGTGTTGCCTACATATTTGCAGATTACAAGAAGTACTAAACGAACCTATGCTCGGAGGAAATGGAAAAAGGAAATGAAAAAAATTCAGAAGGAAAATGAAGCTTGTGAATTGGAGGGGCTTGTAAGTTATCAGATCATGCAAATAAAGAATCCCTCAATCCCAGTTGTGTTGGAAACTGACTACCTCAATTTTGCAGCAAAATAGGAAAAAAGGCCGAGGTAAAGCTAAAAGAAATGAGGTGGATTGTCAATCAAAGGGACAGGTGAGTGATCATATTTTTCAAATAGCTGTCATTTTGTTGATTCCATGTACATCTGATATTAGTGCAGAACTAACTACCTCAAATCTACAGCGAAGTTGGAGAAAGGACCGAGCTGAAACTGAAAGAAATGAGGTGGATGACCAACCAAAGGGGCTGGTAAGTTTTCCTAAGAACATTTCTTTAATCAATTCGGGGGATAATTAATTTTTATGTGAAACCTGAAATATGTAGCTACATTGGAAGCAATTGTCTGGAAGTAACACATCTAAAACATACGAAAATTGTCAACACCAAACTCAAACAATTGATTTACACGAACATCCACATCAAAATGGAAAAGTACATGAAGAGCCAATTCAAAATGGTGAAGTGCACGAACAGCCAAATCAAAAGAGCAATACATCTGAATGGTCAACTAAGCTTGGTGAGGAGGCTGAAGTTGTTCCCATTGTAGTAAGGCCAGGACACATTCGCTTTGAACCTTTGGAGAAAGGTCCAAACTCTCTCTCTCTCTCTCTCTCTCTCTCTCTTTGTGGTTTTCTATCTACTATCGTTATTGTTGAGAATCTTGTTTAAAGTGATTTTGATCACCGATTTATAGAGGTATAATCTACCCAAATTTGGCCAGTTGATCTGAATTTGAACAAGTCTCATTTGAGTTTCATATTTGGATTTGTTTGGTCCCCAATTTTTTAGATTCTGGACCCTTTACCTGTGTCCATGGATGAGCACAAAAAATTTCTTGAAAATCCCATTCAGGAAGAAGGCCATCTAGGTTCACTATTACAGAGTTTTATCAATTTCTTTTAAATAATCATCATTATAGAATGCTTTTACAATTTATGTTCTTGAATATCTTGTTTTTTACTCCCTTTGGCAATTGGTAAAAGATGCTCCCTCTTGTTCTCTTAACAATTTTATGATTATAGTGTGGCATATTATCTCACAGTTCAACATTTGAAATATTTTTGGGTTGATGCAGAGCATGCTGTGGAACAAAATCAATTACCAATGGTAAGCTTCATTGCATGCATTATGATGTTGGTTATGTTCAAAATGGCTGCATTCTTTGCAGTTATTTTGAAGAATTATTTTGATGAAGAGGATATATCAGCTTATGTTGATGAATAATCTTGCACTAACCTATATTTGGTTTAATTAAGATGCTGTTAGATACAGAAAGGAACTATTTAAAAATCACATCCCTTTAGAGAAGGGATGCATGCATGGTTTCTGAGATACTGAGAATACATCAAACTGATTCAATAACTGTCTCACCATTCATTTCTTGAATAATTGAGCTTTGGGATTAAAATAAAGTAAGCATAAATATATCCATCGTTTTTATATAATCTATTATATAGGGTGATTACAATCATACCCAAATTTGTGTAAAATGGAAGTGAAAACTCAGGTCATACGTTATTGTCGTGAAGCCTGTGCCGTTTTCTACCCATTGCATCTTTTAATTGCTTACTGACTGGCATTAATAAATATCAAACAAGCCATCAAGTTTATTAGTCTATGTTGATATCAGCAGTAAATAAATAATCACAATGCATATTTATTTGTACCATTTCTCTCTCTCTAGTATACTTTCTGAAGGAAAACAACTAAATAGTAACAAGCATGTTTAGCTAAGCTTGAAAAGTTCACTTTAAGTAAATATGGAAGTTTAATATATTTGAACGTGATTGGAGACGGAGTCACTTAAAAGTAACATTTACTTTTTAAGCTTAGCCAACACATACTTGGTGCAGAGGATGATCTCTTTTTTGAGCCTTACATCCTTTGTCTTCAATGCTTTTCAGTTTGTTGACATTTCTAATCCATATTAGTGCCATCAATCATTCTTCTAGATGAATATTGAGTTGTTTTCTTCAGGATCAGTGGAATGGAATTACCAGCAAGAAAAAGGGCCAGAAATGGGGAAGGGAGAAACATACATTCACCCCAAGAAATGATAACAAAGATTCTTTGTATGAAATATTGAGTAATGCAAAAGATAAACTATCAGATGAAGGAATTGACTTTGATAAGCTTCCACCCCTTGTTGATGTGCCTAAGGTAGATTTTTGTCTCTCTCTTCATACATTCATGATTTTCTATTATGAACCATTTTTGTTTCCTTTTATAATGAAAGTTGGTGGGAGAAGTGGGCTTTTTGTCTAGATCTTTTAGCAGCATACACGCCTTGAGACTTCCTAAGGTTATGCAAAGGCCAAAGAGCATGTTTGACTCCCTACATTCAACGAGCATGTTTTACTAAGCTTTAAAGTTAGTTTTGTGAAGTTAAGACTTACTCTAGAAGAGTAAAATTTGTTATTGTTGAAGGAGACTTTTGAAGTATTTGCAGAAAAGAAGCTTAAAATTAATTTCTAATTCTTTCGAAGCTTAGCCAAACAAACTTTCAGACAGCTTGTCTTGCTTCTGACACAAGTGCAACAGGAAACACTCGCCCCTTCCATATGTATCATTTGTGTTGTAATCATTTTTGGCAGGAAGGAGACTTAATTGCATATCGTATTCTGGAGTTATCTTCGTCCTGGACCCCCGAGCTTTCATCATATCGGGTATAGCTCCACTCTAATAGGATTTATTCTTCTAATTATAGCTTACAACTGGACAACAACAATAGCCTTCTTAACATATCTTTTGACATAGGTTGGAAAAGTATCCTGGGTCGATACTGAATCCCGTCAAACTATGCTGATGCCAGTCCCAGAATATCCTGTTGTTTCCAAGAAGTTAGATGAGGACGAATCTGCCACTCAACCCGATAACTCCCTATACAATGAAGACGGATCACTGGAGGCAAGTTGTGCACATTTTAACCATTCTTTAAAGTCTATGCATTTTCTTCCCCATATTGATAACAATCACCAAATATTTACCATCCACTCCATGCAGATTGATTTATCATCTCTTGTTGACATCCGCATCGTCAAAGGAGGCAACACAGGTCCGAGGAATACATCCCCTAGTTGTGAGAATGGTCCTTTAGGCAATGAAAATTCTGCAAAACCTGAGTTGCCTAGCAGTAATGATAAACAATTACGTGCTGCAGTCCCAGGTATATATCATTTTTAATGGCAATTCTTGAAAATAATTAAAGTCTGGTTTGGATCATTTATTTCATCTCCACTCATCCCCATTGTATTTGCTGTTTGTAGATCATGCAGAGTTACACGGTGGTAAACAAACACTTCCTCCCACTATAGGTGCCTATTATAGCTTCTCTAGTGCCTAAAATTCCTGGTTACGTTTTTGGATTTTGAAAATGTTATTTTTATTTGTAGACAACGGAGTAAATGCATGGGACGAAATAAGCGCGACCCTGGATGCCAAGAAGGCGCAACTATTGCAGGAAAATAGTTGCAGTAAAGAGAGTTCAGGCAAGAAATCATGGTCATATAAAGCTTTGAGAGGCAGTGCACTCGGTCCTACAATGGCTATTTTAAGATCAGAAAAGGGAATTTGAGTAAGAGAGAAGTTTTAAGCTTTTTCACATGCTTAACTTCCGGGTTCAATTTTTATGTAGTTTTTGTAGATCTTCTGGCATATGTAAAGAATGTTATGGGCTAAACATCTCCAGACTTGAAATTTCGATCTATCGAACAATTTTCCTTTCCCAGGAAGGATATGGGCTAAACATGTTAATTGTGCTTAATGTTAAGTAGCTGCTGTTATTTCCTTGCTCTTAAAATGGATTCATGAATACGATTATTATTGTTGGTAAGACAAAATGCCATAAAATAATGTTCTATATTTGTACTGAAAACCCTATACCTTGGGTGTTGAATCTGAGTGTACAGAAAATTAGATGAACAAGATGAAGAATAGTATACATTTCATTAATTCTGGGACTCTTGTATAGAGGCATGAATTGACTCTGTGGAGTCTGTGGATTCTGTTTATCCTTCCGAATCTTGATCCTAGTATACATTTCATTTATTCTGGGAATCTTTTGTTCTCGTAATTCCTATAACTTATTTTCTATAATGCTCTTAGTGTATGCTTCGTACGCAGTATTGTCTAGTCTATCTTGTGAAACGAGAAAAAAAGCAAGATGAATGAGCTGTTCCACACAACCTTTAACAAACTATAACTGCAATTCCATCCAAAAGCAAAATGCTCTAGGGGCTGAAACGGATCTTCATCACATTCTTTAACTATCTGCAGCATTGTTACAAGAATTTATCGTGTTGCAAAATTGAAACCATCATTTATGTAAAGATGAAATCATATTCCGAACAGAATTTAAGATTCATTTGGTAGCACTTCTATTTTTGCTTCTTGTAGAATATAATTTCCCTTAAAAACTCTTTTAACCAGACAAAATACTTTCAGAAAATAATTAACTTATTCTAAGGCAACTTTTTAGCCTTAGAAACAGTTTTCGACCATTCAGAATTCTGCCGAATGCGCCCTTCACAAGTTCTAAACACCCTTAGAAACAAGTCTTCGTACTGGATGTATGTACATATAGATAAGACAGAAGCATGCAACCAGGCGAACACACAAATATTCTTTACAAAGAAGACAATGCTTGTGGCAGCACGATATCTATTCATCTATCAATTATGCACGAGAAAAAGTGAAGCGTATGGTAAGTAATAATATAAATATACAGACGTTGACGCAACAAGAAAGCATAAATATTTGAACAACCGAAATTTGTTCAAGAATCTGATGCCTTTTATCTAACTGCTGCTAAACTAATTATCTTCCAAAAGTTTCACAATGATAAAAAATTTACAGTTCAATTCTAACAAAACTCATTATATATCCGAACATAAAAAGTAAAAGTAACTTCCAATAGATTGTCCCTAGTGTAAACATATGCAAGATATAAATGATATAGGGCCTGTTTGACAGTACTTTTGAAAAGTCAAAAGTTGCTTCTAAAACAAGAAAACTATTTTTCAACATGTCTGGATAATTCTTTGGAAGTGCATTGTTTGGCTACAAGAGTAACTTTCACAGGAAGCTCTTTAGAAGCAATAGCAGAAGTCCTGCCAAATGGGCCCATAGCATCCAAGTACCTGAATGGAAGTGTTTGAACTTAAACCATTCTCCGTAAGAAAAGCACGACCAACCATCTCCTGCTAGGCACGGCTATCTTCGCATCTTCTATGATTACTGATCAAACGACTAACGGAGCCCTTTCCACAGCTCATCGTGCCTTAAAAAATGTATAAAACACCAGCACTGTTTGCGTCAAAACTCAAAAGGATCATTGTCAGCAGCATAGCTGTGAGCACCATATGCTGGGTCTTCTCTATTTGTCTCCAAAGATCTCTCATGTTTAAAGTTATTGTATTCAATATCCTGCATAATTTCATCTTCTATGTAAAATGACAAGCTCATCGAATTGGTTGAAGCATGTGATGCCTCATCCACTGAAGGTAACATCATCCGAGGAGGAGGACTGCTTCCTCTGCGCTCCGCAAGGGAGGGTGACGTTCTAAACGAAAAACTTGCTGCTCTCAAAGCACGAGTTGCGGAAAATGCTTCTTCCGGCAGAGGGGAAGATCCTCGAAGAGGTAAACATGCACTTTCCTCTGAGGAACCGTTCTTAACAGGATCTTTGAACTCTAGTCCAGAAGGTGAAGGGTGAGCTGACAAATATGATAAGTCTGACCAGTTAGACGATGAGGGTGAAAAGGTAAATGAACTTGAATAATCTGAGGTTGAAGGTGAAAGTGATGGGGATGTTGATCTGGACTTCGGTTTACTCACAAGATAAGAACTAAAAGAATCCAATGAACTGAGCGAAGGTGATGGTGACAGTACAGTATCAGTAAGGGGAACCGAGTATTCCACTTTCTCCATTAGTGCAACAGGGCTTTCAGTTTTGTACGAAGCAAAGGAATCGGGTGAATTGCACTGAGGACTAGAAGGCAACAGAACTTCTTTACAAGTATCTATTATATCTGCTTCATCACTTGCTTGAGTCAAATTGCAATTCAATTTAGACGACGCAACAAGTTCTTTCATAACACCACTGGTCAACTTTCTTCTCAATCTGCTCCAACCATTTTCTCTAGCAGGTATGCATGTCTCGGATCCACTTCCCGATAAGGGAAAAGGTGGAACAATTCCACCGGATAGTGCTTTGTGAAAAATTCCAAAATCTTGATCATACTCAACAACTTTCCTTTGACAGATGGATGGACAAACTGCAAGCCCAACTCTGTCTGTTATCTCTCTGTCACAACCATCTGCTAACTGTTTTTTCAAGCCAAGAGCAGCCCAGAATTCAGATGTTTCTTCATCTTCGTTGACGGTTATAACTGGACCCCAGGCCTTTTCATAACGGATAACTTGAGATGCAGCTGACATCGCTTTATCCGACATCACTTTGAAGCAATTCTTCCCTATCCAGATGAATATTGCGGAAGGAACGTGAACAATGAAAGCTCCACGAGAATCAAGTCTTTCTGACCCGGGTTCACTCAACATTTTCGGAACAAGATGAAGGGGATCATATGGGGAATGAGGTGCCATTCGATACATACGAAGCACCGAAGATGGGCTTGGAGGCAAGGCGTGTACCCGCTTCTGGCACTGCAAAAGTTGACAGGCAAATCCCAAATTTGGGTTAGTTACTCCTCGTGCTGCTTTAACATGCTGGAATGCATCCTCAAAGCTCTGCCCCTCTTTCCACATAAGATAAGCAATAACCAAAGAGGACGACCGAGACACCCCTTGGAAACAGTGAACAAGGACTCGCCCACCTTGTTCTCTAACATCTTCAAAATAATCAAAAACATCATAGAAAATGCTCGTGATATCCTCAGATGGGCTATCCTGCAGCCAAAGTGTCTTGTAAACAAGGTCATTCTTGAAATATTCAGGGCAAACAAACCCAACACAGTTCAGCACATGGGTTATTTCATTCTTCCTTAAAATTTCACGATTCTTTGCAACAGCATCACTTCCTAAATATACGTGATCCAAAATTCTTGAGCACTCCTTATCAAAGAATGCAAGCTTATCTTTCTTGAACTCAAATTCTCTGGGAGGTTGTTTGGAATTTGAATTTCCACGAGGCGTCAATGATCCAAGCCGTGCACCAGGAGTAGTAGGGGGGTTCGCCCATATGCCAATATCATCTGAGCCAGCCCTCGGCCATTCCTCCCCGCTAGGTCTAGTAACCGAAAGAGGCTGAAGGGGCGGCAAACAAGCCCGAGCCTTGCTGTTCCATTGTGGCCTAGAATTCGTCTTTCTAGGTGATCCATCACTCCACGAAACCGACCGTGAGTATGTTTTCCAACTCCCTCTGACGGGCCTATCTTTATTCTCTTCCCCTAACATCTCAACAGTTAAACTTCAACTCTGTAAAAATCAATCAAACATATTTCAGGACTATTCTAAACATCGAAACTGAAATTTCCAAGATACCCATATTAGCATAAAAACTAAAAATGAAATCCAGGCACAAAATGATCAAATTTAACAAATTTCAGAGACACCCACATGAGGATTCTTCAAGGAAAGCCCTTATAAACAATCAATTTCATGACTAGTCTTCAAACATATATATAATAATAACTACCATTCAGAAAAATCTGCCTTTTGCCACCTAATAAACTTGACCATAAAGATTCTTAAAGAAGAGGAGAAATCAAACACAAATACGACCTAGTAAAACTCCTAACAAATTATTCCATTTCAGGGTACAAATTTTCAACATAAACAACCAGAGAACATAGAAAATTCAAGAATTTAAGATAGAGAAACTTACAGGAAATAATTTATTGGAGATTGGATTTTCGCAGCATACATTTTATTATTGCGACTACAGATTATACTAAATTAAAATACGTACGATCAGTTCCAAGACGAGTACCAATTCAAAGCGTCCTTCCAACGAACGAGCTGTGTATATATATGTGAATGTGTCTGTATCGTACGAGAGAGGAAAGTCTCGTTCCAAATAGTCATTAAAGTCCAAATGAAATTTTAAATCTTATTAAAAAGTTTATTTTCGAGTAGTCATTAAAGTCCAAATGAAGTTTTAAATGTTATTAAAGTATTTTTGCGATCAATTTAGTCTAGTAAAGTTACATAATGTAGCATAATTGATTAATCCTTTTAACATCGATACCAAACTTACCTGTTAAACCTCGAATTCATCTAATAATCGCTACATCCATATTGTAAAATTACATATTTTCAAAGTAAAATAGTAAGGGTCAATTTGATTGCACTAAATTCCATGAAAAATGTCACATATGAGGAATTTTTTTTACTTTGACTGTTTGTTACAAAAGTGGAAAAGAATTTCGAATTTCACTAAACAAATACTTAAAACATGTTTTTGACCAATTGAGTGGAAATCGAATTCGTATGATTTTGGTAATTTTTTTCTTTTTTCAACTTATATGAAATTGGTTTGTCTTTTCGACCTTCGCAATCAAATGGATCCTAAATGTTAAACCTCGAATTCATCTTACTCTATATTCATCATTAATAAAAAGTAAAAATATCTCAACAAAGATATAACGGAAGACCAAGTGAAAAGGAAGCGATCATTTGAAAGTTGTTAGTCCATGTTAACAACTCCTACGCCGAATATGAGTTAATTAGGTTAACATATCGATTAATTGGTGACTAAATGAGTCGTAAAAATATTTTAATGACAAGTTTGAAATATTTCTTAAACTTAAGTGACTTTAAGTGAAATTATTTATGTCTAGGGAGAGAGACTCATGTAAGCCAACAAAAAATGAAAACGACAAGGTGGCAGTTTTTGTTGACCGGGAACAAAATTGATCAAACATAGCACGTCATCATGGTATAATTTTTAATTATTTAAGGGATTATTCAATCTTGTTTTAACCCCCGCGCCCCCTTTTTTTAAATGCATTTTGTAATTGTTTTGTTATGATGGATAACGTGAATAAAAAATAAGGAAAAAATTTAAATTTATTTGTAATATTTTTTCTTGAAAAATATATAATTAAAATGAGATCAAATTACTATTGAAAAATATATTTTGATGAAGAAAAGGCTAATTCAATTTTTGCATGTTAATTGTTTTTTGAATGTTTGAATAAAGTGGCATGCAATGAGAAATTGATTTATAAATTAATTATTCTTAGGAATATGGTTGTCAATATTTTATTTGAGTTTTTGCAAAATTAGTTTGAAATTTTCAAACAAGATGAATCTTTGTTTATGTTCATGTATTTGATTTTACGAAAGAAACCCAGCTTGTTTTTCAAGATTTTATATATATATCACACCAAGGGAAAATCATTTTTTGAGAGAGAATAATTTTTTGGACGATTTCACAATTCAATTATATCAATACTACCTTACTTTTCATTTTTCGATACGTAATAAATACTATATAATTATTGTCGTATACGAAATTTGTGTTTTTAATTCTCAATTAATTAATATTCACATTAATCTAGATTCAATAAATTTTCACTTGATTAATCTTGAATTATATTAATCTAGAGCTATTATAGATGAATTTATTCATATTCATGTACCTAGAAATTTTAATGGATGTATAAATTTAAATATTATCAATTAATTTTTATATATCAAATGTAATATAAAAAGATTATTCATTTATAGTATTTCATCATTATAAAAAAAAAAAAATTGAATCATAAAAATTGAGTTTTAAGAGTACAACTTGATTACAATTTTCTTCTTTGAAATTTTTGTGCTAAATTTTCTTTTCTTTAATTTGTCTAAGACTAATTAAATCTTCCAACAAATTGATATCAAATATTACTTTTACATTATTTTTAAAGTATTTTAGAATAACGTGCAATGCACTTTCAACTTTGGCTAGTAATAGTAAAATTGACAAAATTAGTAAAGACATCATGTGTCACATTTTATGACTTTTGAAATTCAATGAATGCGAAAATTACATGTAAAAACAGAATCAAAACAATTGTATCTAAACCCTAGTTCTCATTCTCTAAAAAAAAAAAAAAAAGAAAAAAAAAGTGATTTTATTTCCTGGAATGTTAAGATCCTTGCCATGGACAAGTTTTAGAATGGGATATTTTAGATAATAAATTGCCAAATTAAAGTCTAACATTTTCATTGTATTATATAAGTTGTATAATAATTATACGATTTAATTGCATATCGAGTATGCAGCATTTGACAACATTATACACCATCACAATAAACAATACTATTTTTTGTCTATTATTATCTAATACTATGGATCAGAAGTAGGAGTGAAAAAGGGGGCCGAATCATGGTCTTTGCTCCACCGAACAATTGGACATCTTGGGTTCATTCTGAGAAAAAATATGAATTAAATCGAACATCCTTTCTTTCACGAGCCAGCTCTTTTTAGACTCATGGATAAACTTTTTTTTGACTTATTTTAAATTTCCTTAAAAAATGAGTCACGACTCGATCCATGACCCAAAGGGCCGCATCAAGCCTAATTTGTGGACACTAGCCTCAAGTGTCTAAGAGCCGAATCAACTCGGTTCAGCACTCTTATCATACCTAATCAAATGTGCCATAAAAGTTCGTTGTGAAGAATTAGAAGTAAGAATAAGCTTGGCCACCAAATTTGAATCTATGATCCTAATATTCTATTAATAGCCACCTCCCTTCTTTAGTAAGTAATAGGCCCATGTTTGAGCCACATTCTAAAAAAAAAAAATGTATTATTTATGTCAAATTAATGAAAAATGTGTGATTAAAAAAAAAAATTAGATTTGCGTGTAATATTATTTTAGTGAAAAATGTGTGGTTAAAATAATATCAAATTACTGTTGAAAAATGTATTTTTTTGAAAATAATGTGGCTCAAACAACCCCTAAGATTCTAAGGCTATGTTTGATAGCCACTTATTTTCTAGGAAAAATGGAAAACAAATTCCGACTTCTACTTTTGGCATGTTTGATTGACAATTTTTCAAGGAATTCGTTTTCCAACTTTGACCGCCAAGTCAGCATTTTCTAGTTTTTTCTTGAATTCGAATTCTCGCCATATTGGTGAGAATTAGTTTGCCGGGTTACTGTAGTTTTTTTTTTTTGGGAAAGGGAAAAAAATTTAAAAAATTTTTTAAAAAAATTTTTTTTTTTTTTTTTTGTGGCAATGGAAACAAATTCTAATAATTATTGTAAAAAATTATTTCTCTTTAACTAACAATTTTCATGTAGAACAAAGTCAAACGAACACTTAAAGATAGATGATTTTCTTGATTTTTTTTGGTTGACAATTGAAACAAATTTCATCACCAATACCAGTAAATTCTATCCCTTTAATCGACAATTTTCATGTAAAATAAAGTCAAACAAAAACTAAAAAATACTTTTATTTCAACATTTTCCACCTAGAAAATTATACCAATCAAACACAATAATTTATAATTCTCAAGAAAATAATTTCTATGCAATTTAATTCCTTGGAAATCGTTTTCAATTCAATTCAATTTCTTAGAATTTGTTTTCAATTCAATTCAATTCCATCTTTGTAATCAAACGGACCCTAATTTCTTTCCTTTCCTTAATTTTGTCAAGCGTCTTGAGGTATGACTTATCAAACGTGCCATGAAAATAGATAGAGAATATTTTTGTCTATTTTAATTTTTTTAATTTTATTTGTTTCTACGATATAATCGAGTCGAATCAAGCAAGGAGGGCCTAAAGAATAAAGCAAATTTTTTATTTTTGGAAATTACACTAGGGCAGGTTTCAAGATATCGTAGTTCAAAAATCAAGTATAAGATTTACTTATTCATAAATCAAGTTTTAATAATAATAACAATAATAATAATAATAAATCTACATATTCATCCAGCCCTACACCATTCATCTAAATTTTAATCTCAAACCTTAATTTATCTCTCCCTCACTTCTCTCTCTATTCTCACTCCCATGACGGTCCTCCCTAGTGACTTCTCTCCAACGTCGAACTAACAATCAATCATCCTCGGCTGCGAATGTTCGCAGCTGTGAATTTCGCGACAGCGTCGGCGGCTGCTGTGAACTTCTCAACAACGTCCGCTTGGGTGCTGGAGGTGACTAGATAGGTGGTAATGGGGAGAAAATGGTAGAAAGGGTGAGTAGATCAGTAGTGTTTGTGGTTTTGATATCGGATTTGGTGACCAAGATGGAATAAACACAACTTTTGTTGACTCCAAAAAATGTTGCAAACAGATGCCAGACCCACTCACGAACACGTGAGCGAAAGTCCAACACGCTAAGACAAGTAGACGGTCTTTAATGGACGAATCGAGGGCATGGGAGTAGCTCAATGACGCGGGACGAGAACGTACGGAATTCGGCGAGATGTTTGTTGATTGACTGTACAATAATTACCAATCGATGTTTGTAAACGTGTATCCAAATTTGTATAAACTTGTTTGTACTGCAAGATAATAAGAAAAAGAGAGTTGAGTAAAGTATGGTTTCTTATATTGATTCTTGCATTAGCCTTTGTATGGGGGAGTATTTATAGTGTCACAAGTTAGATCGTGACCTTTGGTTCGGGGTACATGTGACCTCATCCGGTTAATTTATATGTCAAATTGTAGGCATCAGTCGCACCTAGGCTGCTATACATTTATTGATTGGTAGAGCCTCCTTTACTAGTGACAAGACTTAACATTACACTCATGATAAACGTCCTATCAATCATTCAAGTAAGATCTTTGTGCAGAGGATCTCTCGGGAAAAGCGTCTATGGAAGATGCTGCTTTGTGATTCGAAGGTTGCTACGTCGGCTATAGAGCTTCGGCCAACAGGGCCTCGTCCACCTTCAAAGGGTCTCGGCATATGGGCTTCGGAAGCTCCTTAAAAGGCAATGATAGATGGGCCTCTGTATATATGGGCCTAGGCTTCTGTGGACCTCGGTTTACGGGCTTCGTCTATGTAAATCACCTTGGCTTCAGTGCTACGTGGTTCGGCATGAGTTGGCTGTG